TTTTTTTTTTTTTTTTTTTTTGAGACAGAGTCTCGCTTTGTTGCCCAGGCTAGAGTGAGTGCCATGGTGTCAGCCTCGCTCACAGCAACCTCAAACTCCTGGCTCAAGCAATCCTCCTGCCTCAGTCTCCCGAGTAGCTGGGACTACAGGCATTCGCCACCATGCCCGGCTAATTTTTTGTATATATATTAGTTGGCCAATTAATTTCTTTCTATTTTATAGTAGAGACGGGGTCTCGCTCTTGCTCAGGCTGGTTTCGAACTCCTGACCTCGAGCAATCCGCCCGCCTCGGCCTCCCAGAGAGCTAGGATTACAGGCGTGAGCCACAGCGCCCGGCCCTGTCTCAGATTTTTTAAAAAAAGAAACAGAGGAGCCTGTGGGGTAGGAGGCGGGGCGGGGGAGGATGGGGGTGGACAGAATCTGCAGGACCAGCAGCGAGGGACCACCCGGGCGGGGCGCCCACCGAGCCCTTCTGCAGGGCCCTGCGGAGCCAGAGCCGGCGCCCACCCCTGTGGGCTGAGCCGCTGCAGGAGCGCGCACCTGCTGCTGCCCCTGCCGCCAGGTCGGGAGGTGGCGCTTCAGTCCCTGGGCACATCCAGAGGAGCCCAGAGGGGACAGGGGACTGAGGTCTGTCCTCTGCCGTCCTCGTGCAGGTGCCATCACTCTGTCTGGGTCCCAGGACCCTCCGCTGCCTGCCCCACCCCCACCCCGGGCGAGGTGACACTGTGGTGACGCTGCCCCAGGGTGCCGCTCCTTCCCTCCCTCGAGGTCCCCTGGCCCTGCCCATGCCTCGGAAGTGGCCCCCACTGAAGCCCCCCCTTTAGCCTATTTGCGGTCCCTGCCGGGAGGCAAATGCCACATTCCCCCAGGGGACGGGACCCCCACAAATCGGTCACTCGGGCGCTGATGTTTGTGTAGGAACGTAAGCAAAACCTCTCCCAACTGTTGCAATGGAAGGAGGAGCGGAAAGTAGAATTTTTTTCATAAATGTCTACACTTACCAATTGCTTCCTTTTCTTTTCCTTTTTTTTTTTTTTTTTTTGAGACAGAGTCCCACTCTCTTGCCTGGGCTACAGCGCCGTGGCGTCAGCCTAGCTCACAGCAACCTCAAACTCCTGGGCTCAAGCGATCCTCCTGCCTCAGCTTCCCAAGGAGTAGCTGGGACTACAGACATGTGCCACCATGCCCGGCTAATTTTTTTCTATATATTTTTAGCTGGCCAATTAATTTCTTTCTATTTTGAGTAGAGATGGAGTCTCGCTCTTGCTCAAGCTGGTTTCGAACTCCTGACCTAGAGCGATCCTCCCGAATGGGCCTCCCAGAGTGCTAGGATTACAGGCGTGAGCCACTGCGCCGGCCTGTTTCCTTTTCTCCTGTGAAAGCTGTTTGGTGTTTTTAGTTGTAACTACTAATCTACACAGCCGTAAACCGCAGTTTTACAAGCGAGTGCTCAGTGCCATGCCTGACTCCAGCTGTGAGACTCGTGAGACGACGCAGAGCATCGTGGGTGAGAACCGGACACGGGGTGCAGGCTGCGTGGCTCAAACCCCAGCTGCGGCCCCCTAGTGAAAGGCACCCGGTCCTCAGACTCTGTGACCCCCCCCCCAGCCCCGACAGCCACACGGAGGGGAGGCCCTGCCGGCCGCTGTCCCTGGTGCTGAAAGGAACGGCCACATCCCCGCCCCTCTGCCTTCCTCTCACTGTTGAAAACCCACACGACCTCCACTTCCTGCAACATCTAGATGAAAATAAAGTCTGGGTCTTGCTTCTGTGACAAGAAAGTAAAAAATTATTTTTAGTCCTAAGCTTTGAACCAGTTGTGCACCCCAGACCCTTGCAATTTCTCAGATCTAGCTATGGATATTTTGTTTTTGTTTATCTTTTCTTTAAATATTTTGTAGAGGCAGGGTCTCACCATGTTGCCCAGGCTGGTCTCAAGCTCCTGGCCACAAGCAATCCTCCCACCTCGACCTCCCAAAGTGCTGGGATTACAGGTGACAGCCACCACACTCTAACTATGGATAGATACTTTCAATTTACCGAATATTCTAATGAATGTTTTTTTAACAGCAGGTTACCACATTACCAAAAGTTAAAGTTATCTTTTGGGACTTAAAAACATCTCAAAATTTAAATTGCAATGCAAAAAGAAGGGAGAGGAGGGAAATTAATCCTTGTGACATATTAGTTCTTAACATTTTTGGCGCCTAAGTTATACACACTGGCTTGTTCAATCGTCACAACAGCCCAATATATTAGGCAGTAAAAGAACTGAAGCTTAGAGAGATAAGAAGTTTTCCCAAAGCCAAACAACTACTCAATACAGACTGGGATTCTGACCTTGGCAGTTCAACTCCATGGTGACGCGGATTGTCTTAGTCCATTCAGGCTGCTATAACAACATATTGTGAGCTGGGTAATTTATAAACACCAGAAATGGATCGCTCACAGTTCAGGAGTCTGGGGAGTCCAAGGTGAAGGTTCCAGCAAGTCCGGTGTGTGGCGAGAGCATGTTCCTCACAGAGGGCGTCTCCTTGGTGTCCAGCCACGGTGGAAGGGGCAAACACACCCCCTCACGTCTCTTTCTCAGGGACATCGATCCCGTTTATGAAGGCAAAGCCCTCGTGGCCTAGTCACCTCCCAGAGGTCCCTCACCTTAATGCCACTGCAGTGGAGGTCAGATTAAAAGGTATGAGTTTGGGGGGGACACGAACTTGCAGATCACGGCATGGGTTCAGGATCGGCTCACACTGACAGCACCCACCCGGCTGCCCCATCTTCCCTGGAGAATTGTCCTTGTCCTCGTGGTCCAAAAGGACCATGGACAAGTGGTTTGCGGTGAAGGAAAAGGAGGTTTAGTACTTTTCCAGAAAATGAGGAAAATGACAGACTCCCACCTTAAAGCACCGATTGTCCTAAACACAGGCAGAAATACGGAGCATTTAGGGGGAAAATTTGCAGCTTCGGGCTGTTGCTGTTTAACTGGAGTTGACGGTTCTGATCCACCCATCTCAGGAGAAGACAATCCCTGACCTCCACCCAGACCTCCACCAGAACGGTTCCCCTGAGCCATGCCCTGTGGTGCAGAGAACAGTGGACACCCCCCTGCCCCCCATGACCACCGGCCTGAGGCAGGGATGTGGTTTTTAAGTCCCAAAAAGAGTGGGGGAAGTTTTAAAGAGACACCCCAAAAAAACATTTTTACCCTTTCCAAGGCCATTCCCTCTGTCACCCTGTCCCATGTGGGAAAGTCAGGGATCACGTAGTGATTCTGGCAACCTTCCTTAAGAGAAAACTGGGTGCTCTCTCCCCCGAGTACCCCCCTCCTGCTTCCTGCTGCCCGCACGACGGGTGTGGTGTCTGCAGCTCAGCCGCTCCAGGCTGCAGCGAGCTGGGACTGTGTCACTGAACTCCAGCGGGGAAAACCCTCAGAGCTGGATGCCTTTCCAACTCCTTATGTGAATAAATGACATGAAAATGAAATAAAAAACGACAGAGACACAATTCAAACGAAAACCAGAAACCCCAAATATATATAAATTATACTTTCACACTAGGGGCATTTCTCAATTAAGGCAATGCGAAACTCTGCTTTAGTGGCCCCATGATGAGCGGGGCGAGTAGTCCAGGCCCAGGAGTGCTACAAGGAGGGGAGTTTGAAATAAGACCCTAGCCACTCCGGTGGAACCCTCAAAGGGCTGCGTCTCTCAGGGTGAAAGAGCCTGAACGTGTGATTTCAGCTTCAGTCTAAACTGCCTTAGTGACCTTGCGCCACACAAGCCTTGAACCTCGTTTAACGTAATTCAAGTTCTACAAATATTATTTCAAATATGGCGGCCGATACCCAGGCACAGATAACCAGGCAGACAATAATCACTGACCCATGAGTGAAAACCAGCAAAAAGGACAGGCCACATAATCAATACAGACACTGCAATGATCAGACACACACTATAAAGCAACCAGGCTTTTTATGTTTAATAAACACAGTGCTTTAGTAACCATAGAAACACAGTGAAGAAACCTTAGGAGAGAGAAGCCTGGGTGTTTTAGATCAGACATGAGGTCAGGGTAGTGGAAGTACGGAGCCTCTGTGGGTTTGCTTCTGTGACTCAGAGCCTCAAACCTATTCCTTATGTCCCTCCTTAATCCTGGTCCTTCTCCAGCTCAAATACCTCCCATGGCTCCCTCTCGCCCACAGAAAAAAGTCCATCCCTGGGCTCTGGGAGAACCAGCCATCAGCGAGGGAGCCCTGTGGTTAGCTAGAGAGTGCGTCAGGCTCTTGGGCTCAGGGACACCACCCGGCCCCACCAGCCGGTCCCACCTGCAGGTGCCTGCAGCCCCCGCGCGCCCCCTGCTGGCTCCGGGCGAGGCTCAGGCACAGGTGACAGCGGTTTTATTCCTGGGAGGCTGCACAGGCAGGTGGATTGGTTTGGAGGCTCCCAGACCTGGCCGCGGTGGGTCACTGCAGGTCCCCGCTGAGCGGCTCCACCCGCAGCCAGAGGCCGCCCTCGGCGCGCAGGATCAGCTCCGGCTTCCTGCGCGGCTCCGTGTGGTCGGGCAGGAGGCGGAAGCGCAGCAGGGTGAGCGCCAGGACCACCTTCATCTCGGTCATGGCGAAGGTCTGCCCGATGCAGTTCCTGGGGGCGGGAGTAGGGGGTGGGGACAGTGACGGCACCCACGCCCCCATCGGGGCCTCGTCACACGCCTGGATCCTGGCTGGGGGCCCCCACCCTCCCCCGAGCAGCGTGGGGAGCAGGGCCGGGAGCTAATGGTGCCTGGGACCCCCTGTGGGCGTGTGTGTCCCCCACGCTGGCCCAGACTCCAGCCCCAACTCAGGCAGCACACAGGGGAGAAGGTCTGAACGCGCCACCGTTGCAGACATCGGAGGGTTCTGATGCGGCCACCACCTGGACCCCCCTCCCCATCCCCGCCTCTGACCCCCGTGGCCTCACCTGGGCCCCGCCGAAAAGGGAATAAACGCCAGGGGTGACCTCTTCTGGGGGTTTTCTGGGTCGAAGCGGAAGGGGTCATAGACCTGGGGACCCGGGAAGACAAGGCTGCTGGATGGGGAGTCTCAGGACACCCACCCTCCCCCAGAAAAGACAGATGTGGGCACAGTAGAGGGGGTGTCTGTCAGGACCCGGTCAGGACCCCTCCCCCTCACCAGGCCCCAGGGGGGAGAAGGGGGGAGGGGCAGCACCTCAGGGTTGGACCAGACTGACGGGTTGTGATGAATCCCAAAGATGCTGATGATACAGACGTTCCCTGTAGGGAGGAGGGGACAGTCAGGACAAGGTCCAAGCCGCCTGAAGGGACCACCTCCCCACCCAGGAGCCACCTCCCCCTGCCACGGTGGGCACCTTTGGGGATGACCCGGCCATCGGGGAGCACCACGTCCTTGGTGCAGGTGCGGGTGATGGCAGTGGCTGGGGGGTGCAGCCGCAGACTCTCCTTGATGCACATGGTGAGGAAGGGCAGCTGGGCCAGGTCCTCCCTGAGGAGCACCCCCAGCGGTCATCCGGGGAGCAAGCACAGCCCTGCTGCTGCCCCGTGACTCCCTCCCACCTCCTCCCTCCGACCCTGAGTCATGCAACAAAATTGACTCTGGAAGAGTCAAGGATGAAAATAGAACTCCCAAAAGCACTAGAAGAAAACTTGTCCCAGTAGTGTTAGCCAAGGAAAAGCAAAGCAGGAGTGAAGGGTATCCTTAAAAGTGTTAATGCATCTGCACAAAAACATTTTAAAAATTATAAAATAAACTAATGAAAGCAGGCGGTGTGGGGGGATCTCCAAGAGGGCTTATAAGTTTATTTGAATAAGTAAAGTCCAGTTCAGCTCTAGGGTGGGAATGACCTAATATTATAAAAGTGTCAATCCTTTCTGAAATAATAATTCAACACAGTCCAATCAATGTCAAGCTGCAATTTTCTTTAGAATTGACACCCTTATTCTGATCGGAAGAAAGAAGCCTTGGCTAGAGTTAGGTCAATTTAAAAATAAAAGATTGAAGAAAGGAAACACAATCCACCACATATTAAGACCTATAACAAAGGCATAGCCTTATAATAAAAATGACATAAAACAATTTTTTAAGTCTGTGGTGCTGTTACAAGAACGGAAGAGCAGGTGCGTGGAGCAGAGTGGAGAGCTTTCATCAGGCACGTGACAGGTGGAAACTTAGCACCTCATAAAGGAGGGTGACACAGCCTGGGCAATGGGTACTTGGTGGAAGGTGTCCAGACAGTCGGCAATGTGGAAACCAAAAGACCAGATGCTTGTCCACTCTGTGTACAGGGTGGAGTCCCTTCCTAGAGGGGAAAGGTAATACTACAAAGTTAAAATAAGATAACGTAAGAGATATTTTTGTGACCTAGGAGTTGGAATGCTTAACACCCCCAAAAGCACAAGCAGGAAGATTGAAAAAAAAAAAAGGGAAAAAATGCACATGAAAAGTAAGAATTTCTGTGCAATAAAAGAAACCATGGACCACATTGCATTCTGACGAGAGATTCAGAGGAGATATTCACCATAAGGATAGCGATCTAGAACAATCTCTGGAATAGGTAAGACATTCCTGCAAATCAACAAGGGGAAGGACAGGTGAGCCAGCAGGAAAGTGGGCAAAGAAAACGACCCAAGAACTCAGGGGAGCCCAAATGCGAGATAAACCAGGAGGTGCTCAAAGTCGCTTGTGAGCAGGGAAATGAAAACTGTCTGGCAGTGACACGTCACGCCACACCTATTCGAGGCAAGAGTTAGCAAGGAAGGTGATGCCAAGGGTCGCCGAGGGTGGGGGTAGAGGAATCTCACGCACTGACAATGGTGTGGACAGTACTGCCTTTCTGCAGGGCGACTGCCAGCGCAGCCAGGGACACACCACGTGTGTGTTACGGTCCAGCCCAACAGCAAATTTTCATCACATCTCTCACAGCGAAAGGCTCGGAGCTGTGCGAACGCGCATCACACAGAGAGATGTTCTGATGAATGACGCTGCATCCCTAGGGTGGAATCTCACACAGCTAGCAGGACGGAGGAGGCAGCGGTCACTAGTCCCATCACAAACTGGAGGCTAAGTCAGCAGAGAGATACTAACAGGCAATCTGGCGATATCTGTTATAATTTTAAAGGTTTATATAAACCTCCTCGACGGAGGGGTGAGCTCGGTAAACTGAGGACGGGTACGTAGCCCTCAGAGAGGAGGAGCTCCGAGACACACGTGGAGTGAGAAGAACAAGTGGCGTCACGTACATGTATATATGTAGACTATATCGCCAAGGGAAAGGTCTAGAAGGGCTCACCACGAATGAAGCAAGTAAGATTAGGCTGGAAGGAGAGGATAACATTGGTGAACTTAATCTTCCCTGGAATGGTTCCTTTTGTGAAAACGGAAAATAAAATCGTTCCTCTGATCGTCTTTGCAACTCAAAACTAATTTTTCAGAACTTCATACTGGAGAAAGCGGAAAGCATCTTAAAGCTACGCTGTCAGCATTCATCCCTGAGCGCTCCGTGCACGCTCCGAGTTGTGCGGAAACAGGGTGAAAAAACGCACGCGGGGAGGGACTGAACAGGTGAAAGGGGAAGAGACGGAACCTTGTCTGGAAGGAGCAGGAAGCCCTGGGGCAGGACTGGGGTTGGGACGCGGGCACAGGACGGAAGCTTATATTCATCGCAACCCTTTTGTCCTGTTTGAATATTGGCCAAGTGCATAATTTTTCGACGTTGAGGGCAGCACAAAGACAGGACAGCTGTGCCGAGCAACGCCTTGAAGTTCCCGGCAATGCCTCCAAATCGTTTGTCCCGTCCAACCTCTCCTCTCCATCCCTCAGGCCTTGGACCAGAACCTATCCCCTGGACTCACACCTCCCAACTCATCCCCTCCAGTTTCCCCCCTTGTAGCCACAGAAAGATGTTTCTGACCTGGACCTCCCCTGCTCAAACATCTCCCATGGCTCCCCATTGCCCTCCTATGTTAGTCCTGGATCTCCCTTCAAGAAAAAAAAATTGCTGTCCAGCTGCAAGAACTGCAATGAGCTGCCAGCCCCCAGCTACGGGGTCTTCAAGTTCTGCTGCACCATCCAACGAAGGCCACACTGTCCTGGGCCCCCACCACCCCCAGCCCCCAGCCAGTGACTGAGCATTGCCATTCACCAGTGTCTGACCGTTTCTGCCCAATGTCTGACTTCCCTACCAGCAGCCTCTCTGCCCCCATTTACCTTTGATCTCATATCAGCTTCCCAAGGGACTAGCACCGGCACGCCTCAGGTTAAAGTCCAATCTCCCCCGCTTTTTTTTTTCTTGAGACACAGTCTCGCTTTGTCACCCCAGCCAGAGTACAGTGACATGATCATACCTCACCACAACCTTGAACTCCTGGGCTCAAGCGATCCTCCTGCCCCAGCCTCCTGAGTAGATGGGATTACAGGTGCAGGCCACCATGCCCGGCTGATATTTTCTATTTTTAGTAGAGACGGGGTCTCGCATCTCGCTCAGGGTGGTCTCGAACTCCTGACCTGAAGCGATCCTCCCACCTCGACCTCCCAAAGTGCTTGGAGTACAAGTGCGAGCCAGCGCGCCCAGCCTGAAGGGTTTCCCAAGCATCCCCAGAGGGGCTTCCATGGCCGGCTCCAGCCCCATCAGGACCCCCCTGTGCACCCCTCACACTGAGCGCTTCACACGGGGCCAGACACTTTTACTCCCCAAATGCACCAGGCTCCCTGTGCGTGCCTCCATCCCGGCTTTGCACGGCTGCCCCTTGGGTGGAGGCACTGCCCTGCCCCCATGCCCAGCGTGGTGAGTTTGTACACACTGCTGCCAACACAGCCTCCCCTCCTTCCCCTCCCGCCCTGGCCTCTCCTCCTTCCCCTCCTGCCCCGGCCTCTCCTCTCCCTCCTGCCCCAGCCCCTCCTCTCCCTTCTGCCCCGGCCTCCCCTCCTCTCCCTCCTGCCCCGGCCTCTCCTCCTCTCCCTCCTGCCCC